AGTGTGAGTGTGGACTCTACTCTGTGATTAGCACTCAGCTGCTTTCCTGAGTGTGGACACTGTGATCAGCACTCAGTTGCTTTCCTGAGTGTGAGTGTGGACACTGTGACTAGCACTCAGCTGCTTTCCCGAGTGTGAGTGTGGACACTGTGACTAGCACTCAGTTGCTTTCCTGAGTGTGAGTGTGGAGACTGTGACCAGCACTCAGCTGCTTTCCCGAGTGTGAGTGTGGACACTGTGACCAGCACTCAGCTGCTTTCCCGAGTGTGAGTGTGGACTCTGTGACCAGCACTCAGCTGCTTTCCCGAGTGTGAGTGTGGACTCTGTGACCAGCACTCAGCTGATTTCCTGAGTGTGAGTGTGGACTCTGTGACCACTAGTGACTCTTCCTTGTTTTGAGACAGGGTCTCTATTTAAGCTCTGGTTGACCTGGAACTTGCTATGTAGACAAGGCTGGCCTCGAACTCACAGAGATCCACCTGCCTCTATCTCTGCCCTATGAGTGCTGGGATTAAAGACATGCCCTACCAGATCAGAGTCTTATGCCTTTTAAAATTAAAACACGAGGCAATGTCTCTTTGCAAGGTTGGGGCTGTAGCTCAATGGTAGAGTTCTTACCCAGCCTGCAAGAAGGCCTGGGTTTGATCTTCAGTATCAAGAAAGAAAAGAAAAAAAAAGCAAAAAGGAGGGAGGAAGGAAAAGAAGGACAAGTAAATGAGAAAGTTAAACTCCCATGTCCTTGGAAGTTCAAATTCCCTGCCTTTGGGGAAGTTCCAACAATTAGACCCTGAATCCGCATCTCTCACTGGGGTATTCAAGTCACACTTACAGGCTTCTGCTGGTCTGCTGGGGACAAATTGGGGAACAGACACAGCCTGACCTGTGACTTGGTGGTGACCTGTGAAAGGCAACTGCCAGAGGCTAAGGACTGGACATCATGAATGCCACAAAGACACCAGCTCCCCGTCCCCCAGCAGTCCAGAGTAAGACACAGAAGAGTACCTTTGCTTAGAGGGTCCATCCATCCCTTTATACAGTCCCTGTCGGATTTACACTTTGCACTGGGGCTGGTGGGAAACTGCGGGAGGAAGGGCAGGAGGGCAGAGAATGAGCAATGCATTGCCAAGATACCACAAAGCCCTGCTCACCGGTGGTCACTGCAGCACCAGTGGCCAGAAAGTGAAAACAGATCAAATCCATCAGTGCGGAGCAGGACAAAGAAAAGGTGGTTCATTCATATGTGGAGCATGCGTGTGTGTGTGTGTGTGTGTGTGTGTGTGTGTGTGTGTGTGTGTGTGCGTGTGTGAGCCAGAGGTCAATGTCAGGTGTCTTTTTCTGTCACCTTTCATTTTGTTTTTTGAGACAAAGCCTCCCACTAAGACTGTAGCTCACCATTTGGCTGGGCTGGGCTGGCAGGTCGAACATCGAGGTGGATAGGGACTCCACCTCTCGGCCTCCCCAGGACTAGGATCGCAAGTGTGCACTGCTTCAGTGTGGATGCCGGGGATCAAACTCAGATCTTCATGCGTGAATGGCAACCACTTTAATGACTGACTCGTTTTTCCAGCCCCCATATGTGGAGCCTTGGTCTGACAGGTCCTGACACATGCTACGTCATGGACCAACTTCAAAACATGATGCAATGTGAAAGGCACCAGACACAAGAGGCCATGTCCAGTATGGTTCTATGTGTAGGGAATGTCCTAGATAGACGAATCCCCAGAGAGGGAAGGCAGACTGCTTGTCCATGGCTGTGGGGAGAGAGATATCAGTCAATAATGGGGGCAATTTGTTTTGGGTGTCAAAGTTTCCTGGGGTGGGGGGAGAAAATGTTCTGGAATTAGGTGATTATGATGATGGTCTGCATGATGTTGCAAAAAAAAAATCACTAGATTGTGTATTTGGAAGCCATAGATTTTAGAGTATATGGATTTTATCTCAAAAATAAGACTGAATAGAAATGTAAGAGTAGACGTCCAGGCAGCCAGGAGGCACTCTCGGGGACGGCCTTTGGGGTAGAGAGGAGGTGGCCCCGCCACCACAGGACCGAGAAGCTGACAGATAGATAGCAAGGAGTAGCAGGCCACGTGGGAAGAGAGGACATGGCCAGCACACTCCTGCCTGAAGAAAGTGGGTCAGCTGTGTCTGGGACTGAAGGACAGAATAAGGGAAGAGAGAAGAGAGGACTGGTATTCACACAGGCCCTTAGACTGAGGCAAGCAAAGAGCTCTTTCCCAGAATGCATCTCCCCCTTGACCACTCTGAAAGGGTCCCCTACTCACCTCAGGACAAAGCTTCTGTTCTTGGCCTTCTGACTTGAGGTAGTTTGTCATCACAAAGAACGAGTTCCCCTGCAGAGAGAAATGAAGGAGCAAATGCGGGGCCTGGGGGAGCAGAACTCCTTAAGCTAAGAACCGGGGTGGAATGGGGGCGGGTTGGGGAGGTGGGGGAGCAGTCTTTGTACTCTTCGAAGCCTCTAGAAATCAGCCGTGGGCAGCATGGACTTTGCCAAGGGCTTAACATCAAAGCTGCAGGAGCTGTCTCACCAGGCAAGGGGGAGCAGCCGAGCTTTCAAATGTGGGGAGCAGTCATTTTCCGAGCCAACCTCTCCAGCAGCTGTACCAATTCTCCCACAGTAAAAATCTCATTGAGACTCTGGAGAGCTGGGGAAGTGGAGGTGGGGTGTGGGCTGCACCCTGGGCAAACTGTTCGCATTTCTCAGGGCTTAATGGAAGGCCACAGGGCTTCCCACTACCTGGGCAATCAGTGGCTTTTATGGTTTCTAGCTAGAAACAATAGCAGCTTGGGCCTGATGGTTTTGCCAAGTGCTCTGGCTCCCCAGGGTTGCAAATGGACTCTTTTGTTCCTCCCACCCCCATCTGTTCCTAACTCCTCGGCCCCTCTTTTATTTCTCCTTTTTTTTTTTTTTTTTTTGGATAAGTTTTTTGCAGACTCAGCTAGCCACACAGCTCTCTGTGACCTGCACCTTTTCTCTTTGTCACGTACCCTCTCTTTAGAAAGACTCAAGAACCATCTCCTGGAGATCTTTTCAAAGCTAAAAGGTCACACCAGCCGAGCAAAAGACAGGAGCTCCGCCCTTTTGAATCATGGCTGCGCCTGCCCCGCCGTGCAGTGGCCCTGCCTCTCAAGCCACTTGCGCACCAGCGCCAGTGAATCAGACCGCATTTGGAATGTGCCAGGATGCGCTGCTATTTCGGGCAGCCCGGTAGGACTTGATAAAGCAAAGACGCATCTTCTTTGAGCTGCTGGATGTGACCCAGTTTGGCAATTTTTAGGTTTTCTCAGTTGGGATTTTCGCAGGTTTTAAATAGGGCCAACATTTTTCATTTCTGTTAAGACAGGGTATTATGTATTCCAGGCTGGCCTCAAACTCACTAAGCAGTGGAGGGTGACCTTGAACTCCCAATTCTTCATCCTTGACCTCCTGGGGCTACAGGCTTATACTGCCAGTGGTTTTATGTGGCACTAGAGCTATTGAACCTAGGGTTTCATGCATGTTAGTCAAGCATTCTACTGTTTGAGCTAGATCCCTAGTCCCTAACCAACTTTATTTTTTTTAAATGAGTCTCTAGACCCCTAAGTATGGGGAGAGGCAACGGCCAGGGAAGAGCCCTGGAGTCGGCTGCCTGGTGCTCACCTGCAAAGGGAAGGTGTAGTCTGCGGTGTCAAAGATGTTGCGCAGTGACTTCATCTCCCCACCCTCCGTGATGTTCTCTGTCACCTCTGCGATCCCTTTGACCTTGGTGTGCACAGAGCTGATAACAGGCTCCTTCCGCTGGTACAGCTTGTCACTCACTAAAGCAAAGCTGAGGACAGATGAAGGACATCAGTGGTTTTCTCACTGCCCGGGGCAGGGTTTGGGCTGCAGCCTCTGAGGTAGGGGTGGTGGGAGCAGCTTTCCTTCATAGCCTGCTTGCCCAGCGACCTGCTTCTGCCCAGCGACCTGCTTCTGCCCAGCGACCTGCTTCCTTGTGCCTCTCCCTCTCTGCAAACCGGGACCAGCAGCTATACCTCTCCCCACCCCCTTAGTATAACCTACTGAAGGCAGAATTTCTACTCAATTCCGTTCTTGGGTGGTTGAATGGCTCTGTCCCAGGGTTCAGTGACACCTCAGTTCTGCTTGCTCTTATTTCAGGTCACTAGATTTTTTTTTTTGAGACAGGGTCTCTCTATGTAGTCTTGGTTGTCCTGGTATAGACTAGGATGGCCTTTGAACGCACAGAGATCCTCCTGCCTCTGTGGCTCAAATGCCGGGATTCAAGGCATGTGCTACCACACCCAGCAGGTCATCTCATTTATAAGAAATCTACAGGACAGATGGACAGTTGCCGGAGAGAAGAAATGGGGAATGGCAGTTAATGAGTACATTATTTCCTTTAAAGATGATAAAAATATGATGGCGGATAAAGGCATTTCCTATATAATACTGAGCACGTGTTAAATAGCACCTGTCTGTTCACTTACAAATAAGCCCTTTATTCCTTTCTCTTTAAGAGATCAGTTTTATGCTACACAAACTTTACCTTGATAGGTAAGATAAAAATCACACACACCTTTAATCCCAGCACTCGGGAGGCAGAGGCAGGCAGATCTCTGTGAGTTCGAGGCCAGGATGGTCTACAGAGTGAGTTCTGGGACAGCCAGGGTTACACAGAGAAACCCTGTCAAAAAACAAAAACAAAAAACAAAACAAAACAAAAAAACCCAAACAAAACACACACACACACACAAAATTTACACATTTTTCTTGATATAGACATGTATATAGAAATATCAAAACAAGGGAACAAACATCAAATTCAGGATGATGTCTACGGGGGGAGAGTGGGAGGAGGGATGAGTGTGCAGGTGGTGGAGTGGATTAGTGTGCTTTGGCTCGTCAGCTGCACAGTAGCACGGAGGTCTTACTTTAGGCACCATACATGTTAGCATTTCTCCAGCAGTGATTGAAGAAGAAAGAAATTGGTCCAGCGAGATGGCTCAGTGAGTTAAGACACTTGCGACAAGACTGACTGTGTTTTTAATAAGTAAAGCTTGCCTGGAGATCAGAGAGTAAAATAGTCACACTGGTCAGCCGTACAGGCCAGGCAGTGGTGGCATACACATTTAATCCCAGTAGCCACACTAGGTAGCTATAGAGGCCGGGAGGTAGAGGTGCACGCCTTTAATTCCAGCACTAGAAAGGAATATAAGACTGGAGGAGACAGTTCTCACACAGTCTCATTCTGAGATTCCTGGAGGCAGGAATGCCATTTCGGTCTGAGGTAGAGGTAAGAGCCAGTGGCTGCCTGCTTTGCTTTTCTGACCTTTAGACTGAACCCCAATATCTGTCTCTGGGCTTTTATTATTTGTACGATAACTGACGGCCTGGGTTTGATCCCAGAACCCACACGATGATGAGAAGAGAGAACTAACTTCCAAAAGTTGTTCTCTGACCTTCACATGCTCAACACGGCACATGAGCATGCACACTCACAAAAAAATGCAAACAGTTAATTAAAAAAAGGTACTGGTGCTAGAAATAGAGACTCAGGACCCACTCAGCACGTGTGGTGCACAGTCGGGTAGAACGCTGCAGGCGAAACAATTACAAGTGTTCAGTCTCACTCCAGCCTCAAAACACAAGCAAAACACTTGCAATGTTCTTTCAGTTATCCATTGCAACAGCCTCCCAGAAGAACACATGCTTAGTTGTTCAGTGGGAAGCTCAGCCTGATGTACCATGTCCTTTCTAGAATATGCAACATAGGATCAGCTTACTAGACTCCAGCCCTGTCAGGTACGAAGGCTTTGCAAACATGATGGACCTTTGTATCATAATGAAAATGAAAATTCTTTTTTGTTCTGTTTGTTTTGTTTTTTAAGACAGGGTTTCTCTGCATAGCTTTGGCTGTCCTGGAACTCGCTCTGTGAACCAGGCTGGCCACAAGCTCACAGAGATCTGCCTGCCTCTGCCTCCTGAGTGCTGGGATTAAAGGCGTGTGCCACTGCCGCTCTGTGAACATGGCAATTCTATTAACACTTCCTAGAGATGCATCAAAAGAGAAAAGAGGCAGAGGCTGCAGTATCTTCCCCTTTAGGAAGAGCAGTCTAATGGTCAACCCAGTCATAAACTCTTGACCTTGTGTGATGACTCAAGAGAAGCCAGGCTTCCCCTCTGGGTCATGGGTTCAGTCACGATTCTCTAATCTCTAACTCTGATGACTATTAGCTCTAAGAAACTGATGTGCAATGCATTCAGGTGTACTCAAAGTCAGTAGCCTCTGGAGCAAGCACAGGATTAAGGAGCCAGGTATCTAGCTGAGCCTGGTAGAATAGGTAAGATTGAGAAGTGGGGAAGGAAGAGCTGGAGAACATGGCAGGCACAAGAGACCTGCAACAGGAGAAGCTAGGGCCATCCAGAGACCCTTGCAGACCAGTCTGGCCAAAGAGGAGGACATGGAGGAGCCCGGATAGAGCCGAGGTGGAGAGGGAGCTTTGGGGCCATGGAGCCCTGAGACTGGCTCTCGCCTAACTCACCAAATGTAGATGCAGATGATCACCAGAAAAGTGATCTTCAGAGTCCCAATCCATACGCTGTGGATTTGAAGGACTTTCACAGATTTGTGACTGCATAACTGGACCATTGGCACCTTGATGAGAAAGTTCTCTGAGCTCCCCAGGAAGGAAGTGCTTCTCAGCAAAGTCTACCTGTCTCCTAGAAGGAATGCCTAAGTTCTGAGCAAAGGTAACTCTGAAGTGAAAGACAAGCTCTGAGGAGACCTGCCCTAACGTTTGTTTAATGCACAGCTGGGGCACCTGGGGCCTCGCTCCTGCCTTTGCTGCCTGTACATCCTCACTCATGTTGCCAGGAGCATTTGTAGGAGCCTCTTCTCCCTGCAAAGGCACTTTCTCTGCCTGAGATGAAACGCCAGGTCAAAGGGCAGGCACATTTATGGCTCAGTTCTTTGGGTCAAACTACAGAAGTCTGCTTTGTTTCATGCAAAGCAAACGTGTACACCCTGCCTTTCACAAAAGTCTTGACGGACAAAGGGCATGGTTGCATGGCGTGGCTGAGACAGTGAGGGGTCTAGGCGACACCTCGGGCATCGGCACAGAGATGCGGAGAGATGCAATAGTGAGAAGCCCTCTGAAGGAGAAGGGCACAGAATGGAACTGTGATGTGATTACACAAAGAAGGGGGCCAGGCAGGCTTTCCCTGTGGTTGCGAGCTGGTGCCGGTGCAGATGACTTGATGGTGACGGTGGTGGTTTTTCATTTATGCCACCACTTGCCCCCCTTCCCCCATCTCTTTTCCATCTGCATTTAAATACAATTTCTCATCTTAAAAATAAACCCTCCCCCCATCCCGCATTCTCCCAGCACCGTGCAGGGCCTGACTCCTCCTAGCACCACACAGGGCCTGGCTCCTCCCGTGGAGCCCAGTCTTCTGAAAGAGTGAGTCACCACATCCATTTCCGCACCTCCATTCACTCCTCCACCCACTCCAGTCTGGCTCCCACCCCCACCCCTTCTTCAGTGCCGCCCCTGCCAGCTCACTCTCTTCCAAGTCCAGCAGACATGCTGCAGATGCCATGGCCGACTCTGGTGGCCACGGTCCACTTCCTTCTCGTTCTTCCCTCAGCCTCGAGAAGCCTGCGTTCTCCTGACCTCTCCATCTCAGAATAGCTTGGAGACTTCTGCATCTCTCTGCCCCTTGAATGTTGGTACCATGTGGGGCTCTGTTCCAAGCTTCCTACTTTCATTTTCCTGCTGATCAGTTGAAGATGTCCATGGCTCCAACCACCATCTACAGACTGGTGATATGTAATCTATCCTAAAGCTCTGAAAGCAAATATCTACGCAATCAGTGTGCCCAGTTAGGAGCCTCATAGCCCATCCAAACTCAAAGCCTTAAGCTCTGAACTTAGCCTTTGGCTCCAATTATTTTTTCCCCTGAACTCACTAACTCCAGAACGGTATCCACCAACTTCTCATCAGTGGCCCAAGTCAGGAATGAGGCACATTCTTGACCCATTCTCTCCGTAAGGGTCATACATGGTTCATTTATGAAAGCTGCCCAGGCAGCTGGCCCCTCTGCCACATGGAGCCCCAGCAGAGCTGGGTGGACTGGTGCCTACCCATGGCTTCTGGTGTCCACGGGCTGGTGCTAGTGTCTCAGAGGGGAGGCCCAGGGGACTCCCTCATCCATCCTCCTCCTCATACATGTCCTATTATTGAGCTGTGCAATGGAATGCAATCCAAGTGCAATACTTGGGTGGTAGCAGGCAGCGGTAGGAGGTCAGGAGTTCAAGGTCAGGTGCAGCTACATATCGAGTTACTTGAAACCCTGTCTCAGAAAAATGAAATTAAAGAAATTCTGCTATTTTATCTCCCTGGTATTACTGCTATTGCTAGGCTCCACCTATCCTCTGTCACTGTACCTCCTCCCACAGATCCCCATCAGTTCACAGCTGGGTGATCCAACACTGTTTGATCTCCCGCCGGGCCTGGTTCTGTCCCCTCCCCTCTCCAGTCTGAGCATGAACTCTGGGTGAGATGTCCAAGTTCATTGTCAGCTCTGCCTCTGCCTGGCTATATGACTTTGGTCACCAAAGAGATTTGTAAAGGTTGTTAGACAAGTCATATGATCTGTCACATGGCCGAAGACTGGGTTCACTTAGATCCTACACAGTAAGGAGGCAGACTGCTCTAGGAAAAAGATGTCTGGGGACCATTGCTCAACGTGAACTCACAAACCCACAGTCCTTCTCGGCGGCAAACAGGCACCAGGACCTCAGCTGTGGCTGTCCCCTAAATGATCTGG